CGATCTTGCCACCAGTTGCTATTTTGACTACTGCTTGCTGGCACTGAGGCCCCTCCCAAATACCCTGTTGCTTTTCGGCTATTACCTACCCTCCACTTATTCTGCCAATAAATGCACTCTTACCTTGGCTCCAGCGCGCCTTGCAGGGGTATGTTTGTTCATTACTGCTGTTTTTCGTCGCATGAATGAAACGCGGCAATTATCGGAAAGGACTGTAATTGTGTAATTGTTTTCTCCTCGAAAATCAGTGACAGTGTTGGATAACTACCACATCTTGGCGATACGAAAAGGCTCGGTGAATCCAAGGTTTCTACCTTCGACTGACAATGAAATAAGAGAAGGAACGGAGGCTATCCGACGACTACATATGACTTGCTGAAATTGCGTCATGCATCTCTCTCCGACCAAAACATCCAAGCACCCGATGCTGGCCAGCCGATGTCTAACCCAGTATGTCCCCCCCCCATTAAAACCAGTAAACCGATCTTGAGTGCGACATCCTACTCCAAATCAGCTCCTCTCACCTTTGTGCGAAAAATTGGCAGTATTGCTCCGTCTCAGGAATAAGGAGTACAGTTGGCCTTGAACATAAGTGTTGGAAAGATGAAAGCTTCTATTTTTCAATCCGTGTAAAATGCGCCATAAACCATGTCTGAACGATGCTGTGTCCATTAAAAGGTCAAAAACTTCGCCGAAAATTTCCCACGTTATTTCTGGAAGGAGGCTGCCACATGAGCCGTGCGGTAGCTTTAGCGTAGTTTACTCTTTCCAGAGATCACGAATGCCGTCCCTACAGAATAAGTGAGTCCTCATCGTCGGTGAACTCGTGGGCCCTTGAAAACAGAAAAAAGCCAGCTGCCCTTCCAGGAGTGCATGGCATAAGAATTAATTGAAGGGGTGGAGGTAGTAAAACTTTCACGACTGTGTACTTTACTTACTATTATTTTTCTTGTCACATGGTTCCCCATCGGCCGTCCTCTCACCCTAGCCTGACCCTGGTATCGACGCTATTTCTGCAAGGCGTAGTTCCTTGCCTCAGCTTGCGGACCGAAATTGCGGCTCTGCAGCCATAACCTACGCGCTTAGTGGCTCGGCTAATCCTGTCTTTGGTGCAGGCGATGAACTGCTACGAGAATTATAGTAGAACCGCTGCCGAATCATACCAGTTATCTGCCACGCAACCAGGGTCTTTGGTCCAAGGGAGCACTTCTTCAGCACATTGCTATCCAATTATGTCCCTCAGCATAAACCATTTTCTCTTAGCTGTTTCCTTTTCATCCAAAAAGTCCCCGCTCGCTTGACGCAATTCACCAAGCATGAGCACTGCTAGGATATGCGTCAGAGGGTTATTATTGCACCACTCCAAAAGGACCCATTTGAAAGGCTACATCAATCTAAGCACCGTGGTGATCAAATCGGAATAGGAAGCATTCTCACAACAAATTTTTTCTGACTACTATACGGCTTACAACGCAGGCTTCAAAACACTCCAAACCGAAACAGATATGTCGATTGATCCACGTTGCGACAACGCTGACAAGGGAATGGTTTGAACTTCCCATGGAACTTTGAATGGAGACCTAGGTACATCGATAGAGTCTCGGATGCTGATTACGAATATGCAGATTAAAAGTGCTACGGGGACCTCCCAGACGAGTTCTGGCGGTCAAAGTTTGTGAAAACTCAGTTTTGGCTCGTAAGCGCTGCTGATCGATCGTTCGACATTGCCACCGTGGCCTGGTGGTGTAACGGTCTCGCTTCAAAGCCAACATGATCAGTTGTTTGCCATTCCAGTTCGGAGCGAAACTTTCTGGCTTCGCCTCTCCATAAACAGCTTTTGACACTTATGTTCGACAATTCTTCGGAGCTTACGACTCAGCAAGAGCAAGTAATCGAGTAAATGACCGTTACTCGATCGGGTGATGGATTTGGTCACTATCTCCCTTCTCTGAACTCATTACCCATCCACAATTCGAAGTTTTGGCCAGAATCACAATTTGGTCGGAAACTGGTTTCTGGGGGTACTTTGACCCCCTTAGCACAAATATCACATTCGTTCGACGCGGAAATGATCGGTTCCCCCGTTCAGTCGATGACCACAACGAAAAGAAAGGCTGCAAGCGTTTCTCGTCTCAAACGGAGTGTAATATCTCGTGTTGCAGTGTGATCAAAATAACGCCCAAGACCACAGTTCTCGCCGGCTGGAAAACTCTAACGAACGACCATTTTAGCGTCAAAACGGATGTGATATCTTTGCTCAGGGGGACCAATGTACCATCGCAGCAAACCGAGTTTCTGACCGAAATTGTGCACTCTCTGCCGCAAAAACGTCGAATGGGTGGCATGCGGTAAGAGTTCAGCAAGAGCGGCGATACCGTTCCAAATCCATAGCACCGAGTCTGATCTAACGCAATATGCTTCGATCTACTGTGCTCTGGCTGGGGTAGTAAACTCGTACGATTTTCATAGAGTGAAAGAGCACATTGTGACGACACATGTGCAAGGACACGCAATTGTTCCCCCGTGTTAAGAGTTTGAATGTCAAGTAGCCAGTATTCTTTCGGTACGCAATAATGTCGATACGCGGACTCCGTAACTTAACAAAAGTAGAATTACAGGCAGCCTTCTGTACAACTAAAATCAACATAAAAGGTGATATGATAGCTACGTCATGTGCGCTGTCGAATGTACCTCCAGGTGCGCTGATGAACTGTCCCGTGGCTGTGTAGTAGACGTACGTCCTTACCGGTTCCATTTCTTCGCCAAGCTAACGTTGTTAACATGCTGTTAATCTACCTCTCAACTCAACAACCATCGCATATGCTTGAAGAGATCATTGCTCAGTTCCACACACTCTTTGAAATGTTCAAATCCCCAGATATCCTCACGTAGGTAAGTGGAGCGTGGAAGTGGGGGCTATATTCTGCCGCGTTCGGGGCTAGAGGGGCAGTTGACCAGGGCACAGCATTCCGAATGGGGATTTGGTCGAGGCTTTTACGACCTCCCCCTTGTCTTTCAGGGGGCTCGGTAACGACCCCCCGCCCATGGCATCTCTACGGAAGCTGACACTGGCTGACTATTGTTCGTGGTTGTATACTCCGGCGAAAAAGTTGTCCGGGAGCGGGAGCGCGGGGGGGAGTATCGTAGTAACCAGTGCGACGTACAATGGTAGCGGCGGTACCATACTAGCTAATTAACTCAGTAAATTCAATGAAAAATCCACCAAGGTGAACCTAACATAATTCCTAAGCCAGAAATCGACCCAGCCCCTCCCCAACAGACAAAGTTACGACCCCCCCCTCCGAAACGTCCGCAAGGAGAGAAAAATCAACTATAAAAATAAATTTTTCCCAGCCCAAATACGACCCCCCTTTTGACGGCCAAATACGACCCCCCCCATAGGGAATCCCCAACCAATGCTGTGCCCTGCTCTTGACACCGAAATGGTTTCCTTACTTAGCCTAACAAATAGTAGGTGCAGCAGTTTAGTCGCCGGAAGTGGTGCGAAAGAACGGAGTGAAACGGTCAACGATCCTGGCGAAAAAGCCTCCGTTCTCGAGTGATTTTTTCAAAACGATTTATGGAACGAGTTCCGTTCGCATCTTGGCCATATCACGGCTACCGAAGACACGGCTGTATACGTGAACCCATATATGCATGCAGTATCACGGCCGCTTCATACCAATCAATCCCTTTGCGTCATAATTTGCTCACCAAATGTATGAATAGGCGAAGGAGTCAGGACAGTCGTTCGCATTTGTGGGCGGGCGGGCATGGCGGGGGTTTGGGACGTAAGTTGTGGCTTTATAGGGCCCGAAGGAACCTCCCTTGGAAAAGGCATTATGCAGCGCCTGCTCAGGGTCGCGGAATTCCGTCCTGCCAGGCGTATTAATCCTACTCGTCTTGGGGATTTATCGTGCCAACTGCCTTTAAAGTATCTTCTACTATACTCTACTCTTACTCTCCTATATTTCCGTAGATGTGAGGAGACAGTGCTAGGATAACCAGTGCTTGGTTGAATTTTGCTCGAACGCACATCGGGTACAAGTTAAAAACTGGCGTCGGAAGGCGCTGCGACGAACAACCTTGTACCAGTTTCGCGGCAAAAAATCGTAGGGGAGGGGCGCTACAGCGCCATATAGGTTCACTGAGGCCTCCTTTTTCCAGTTGCTCCGCCTCCAGACTCCGCCTTCAAGGCCTGCCTTTCAGTGAAGAACGAAGCTGCAGGACGAAAAAGCATGAAAATCGTCACTTGTACGGTCGTAGAGTTCTTATCGGGGAATCAGCTGTGCGGATGGGGCACAGTGTTGGAGATGGAGTTAATTGGGCACGTACGAGCTAGGATTCAAATGGGATTCTTTCTAGGGCAGTTGGCATCCGCGAGAGAAGTAGGATGCAATCCTTTTCCAGTAGCGCAAGCCAGGATAAGGAACACAACTTCACTTCCCGTTGGAAGGATTTCTCGCATCTTGTTACATTCAATCACGGCCATACCTTCCACGGAGTGGGTATTCGTAGAGGGTTTAGACTTGATGGGCTGGCGCTGCAATCGCAAGATGATGTCGGCGGAGTTCGGCTTGAGTGGGATGTCTCTAGTGGAAACCTGCAAACTCCTGAAAAGCTATGCACTTCCTTGACACTTGACAAGAAACTACAGGTATCACAAAGGTAGGGATTGCAAGCTAAGAGGGCGTAGTAGTAAACGGAAATAGCAAAGTGAGAACCACTCCTTCCAAGCCAAACAGCGCCTGAGAGCCCCTACTACTAACGTTCTTTCCAAATTAGCAAAAACCGCACAATCAGCGCAATCTCTGGCACTCGCAAAGTCCCTCCACCATACACGGAGAGGTTGTGTTGTACAGTTGGTGGTCGTAGAGTGTGCCTTCAAGCGCAAAGCCAATGTAAGTTAGGTGTTATCAGACATGCTATCCATTCAAAAGACAACGGTTAGGATATATCAGTATATCCGCTTACAAATACAAGTCATGCTATTCTTCAAGTAATATCGAGTGATTAAGGAATTCAAAAATGACATCAGCACCCCTTTTCTCTGCTACGTCTTGCCCACTAAAAGATCTTCTACTCTAACTAGGAGAGTAGAGTAGAGATGAAACGGACCAATCAAACTCACCCACGGCTTCGACAGCGCTTGCTAACGTTCCACGAGCTGATTCACCGGCATCAGCGACACCATGTTCTGGAATAAAAAGGTCTTGGTTAATAGTGATGGGAGTAGTAGAGTAGCTGTTCTTCTTGCTGTTCAGAGGTTTTAAAGCTAATAATTTTGAATAAGACTAAACATCCGGAAAGCACCTTTCTCCAAGGTACTTGCCACGATTTTCAACCTTTTGAAGGTTTTATGAGGGCTGCAACAAAAAATAATCGCTCCTTGTCAGGCCACCGATGTTGGTGCTGCAAGACTCGTGGTCCGGGCCATCAGTCGCGATATCGGTCGCTATGAACGAGAAACTCGTGAGAATGGATATACCCTCGATGTACACATTTGCCAATTTTGTTCACTTCAACCCAGGGGGGGGGGCAAAAGAGCAACATCTTTCAACGAACTTCCAAAGCCAACATAAGTTCCACTTTTTTTAACATTTCTTTATTGCAATTCCCACCTTCAAATCAACGATCACAGGCTGTTCGCGATCACAATACTCTGCCACAGCCTTCTGGATGAACGCCATCGAGAGTTTTTACCCCGCGACCGTGATTTGGTGCCTGAGTTCAGCGAGGCCGCTGATTTCTACGCCACTGTACACCATCCTTTTTGAGATCCCCGCGAACTCGGTAATCGAGGGGAATTAGGCAGTGACACCTTTGGATATTCGCTTTTCAGTACTAGCGCTCTTCGATTCCAAGTCAAGAGATTTTCAATTCCATGTGCTGGCCACCCAATCCTGTAGAAGTACGAAGTATCCAGGACGGTGCAGGCAACGACATGAAGGCAGTATTATTCTCCTCGAGCTGTATGATGTAGGCATCAGCGTCTACTTTCAGTTCAAGGTTTACGGAGAAAATATCGGTCTTCCCATTCCAGGAACTTCCGGCCCATACCATCAACTCGCGCCTTGGCGACTGCAGAGAAGATGATATCCTGGACCATAGCGACGCCGTCAGAGCTGTTCGATGTTTTAGGTCTTCCAGATCCAGAGTGCCGGTTCCGAGTCCATAAGTAACCTCCACACAAGAACTTTCGCGACTGTTTGGAGGTGATGTCCAATTCCATAGGCCTTCTTCAGTTCGGCTGCGATTGGAGACGGCTTCATATTTTGGTGTAATGAAGGGTGATGGACGAGCGCCCGCTTCTGCTTATCGAGGGATATCTTCGCCCTGGTACTCGTATTCATGTTTTCTCTGGGGCTGCGTGTTCTTTCCTGATATGTGTCCGGGCGAATTGTCTTTTTTGGCCTTCCTGTAGTATCCGCTATAATGCGAAATCTCTCAGGTTCAGGCTTGGTTCAGAAGACGCTGAACTGTCAAACTAAATCTTCATGGTATATGTGTCGCGACCATAGTGACGGTGACGTGATCTGGCACGAGTTCTCAGCCTCACCCTTCTGATGGACAATTGAAATACCATGAGACGAACACATCCATTTGGCATTTTTCCAAACAGTTGATTGGAACCAGTTGGGGGTGGGGGGAGGAGAGGGGAGCGAGCACTGAGTAGTTCAACCCTAGCTAAAACACGCAACATACCAATCTCTATAGTGTGCTTGGTTTCTGCAACACATCCTGCACATTTTCCAGCAGGGACATGGGCAAGGCTATCGCTGCGCTTCGCATGCCACGCCCACTGGCGAGGTGCATTTACGATTCTATTGCCACATGCCCGGTTTTGTTGACTTTCACTGCTTTATGGGGCAATGTTCCTAATAGTTTACACGTCTCACTAGGATTCACGATTAGGGGCCATGTTCAATCTCCAGGGACGTGGATGGCATTTGTAATAGTGACAAGGTCGTCAGGTCGTTTGGGTTTGGTTAGTAAATATGGTCATGGGAATTTTCGGAGGGGGGAGGGGGTAAGAATTGTAATGAAATAAATAAATGAGAAAATAAATAAATAAATAAATAAATAAATAAATAAATAAATAAATAAATAAGTGGGTATAACAGTTCTGGGGATGATTCGGAAGAATGAGAGGTTTTTTGCGATTTCCCGTTCTAGGTGCTGCATTTATCCTTCTTCATCTCGACTGGCTATTTCATCGGCAGAACGAATGTGCGCGTGGCTAGACATGAAGCGTCCCGGCAGTACGTTTAAAGGAAAACGTAACTGCCGGAGCCTCATGTAGCTTAGTGAGGAGCAAGGGTCGTTCCGAACTCCTTTTGGAAGAACAGTAATGAGCAATTTCACATATTCCTATGACGTTTTATGATCCCAAAACACATTTCGTTGATAATCCTATACAATTTGCCGGCCCAGCATCGTGAAGTTTTGCTATCATCTTACATTGCTCCAAATGAGTTTTCGGTTGGTACGGAGACAATAAGAAAGATGGCACAATAGAAGAATACGTGTGCTTATCCAGAGCAGTCATAAGCTCGCCGCATCTGCCTGCTGACCTGTTTTGAAATGTGCGAATTGCCGGACTGCTTTGAAGTGTGACTGCGCTGACCTTCACATCTAGTGCACTACTGGCCCTCCAGAACTTTCAAGTAAGCTGCGAGTTACTGATTCGAAGAGTCTGTCAGACAAAGCTAGCCATAACTAAGAGTTCAATCAATTTCCATTTTGAATGGAAAATTCTAGAATTGTCGCTGGCAAAATCACTGCTCATTCCTCCATATTTGACCCTCAGACGAACTCTGCTAGGGTGTCGCAAAGGTTCGTGGCATTTTTCTGGAACTTGTGTCGCATCTTTCCGCAGCTATTTCTAGATCCAAGTTATGTGGTCCATGAGAATCAACCCATAGTTGCTTTACCGTCCCTAGCACTCGCTATTGTCATATCCAAAACGGTAGATGAAATTTCATCATTTTCGTCAGACTTCAAAATATGAATTTCCACCAAGAAACAACGTGGTTGGAGCCACACGCATGCTACTCTCCAAAGTACGGCGTTGGAATGGACCGATCATTTTTGCTTATGTTCACTTCTATCTGAGAGACTTCTACCGGGGAGACAAACCTTGTCCTGTCCTGGAATCTGCCCTGGATTTGGACCTGTTGCGTTCCTCGATAAAAACCAATTCGTACGAATCAACCGCAGTCTAGCTACTTGACTGTTCCGAAAGCACAAATGAGAGAGGTGTCACTCTCATAAAAATTATTAAAGTTTGGTCAAAAGATTTCTCACGAGTAGACCGATACTCAGGGAGGAGCGCATGTGGGTACTGTTTACAACTTCTCCCGCTCCCTCCATACGGACTGGTTGAACATAAATGGATATGGAGGAGGTGTCTCTAAGTGAACCGTTCCCGGAAGGCGGTGGCTAGACCCTCAATAAAGGGCAGACCGGGCACAATCTCTGAGTCCATAGGGCGTGGTAGTTGTGTGTGGGTGTTTAGGAAGTTCCTCTGTCACCGCGTGCTGTAAACAGTGAGGTTAATTATTGTTATAGTCTCTACTCCCTGCCGCTGCAAGCGCTAGCAAAACGCTGGTGAAACGCTGGAGAAACGCTGGCGTACGCTAGCGTGCCGCTAGCGTACGCCAGCGTGCCGCTGGTGACGCTGGTGAAGCTAGATCGATATGCATCCTCTCTTCGCACTGCCGCTGGCGTACGCTGGAAGCGCTACGCTACGCTGCGCTACGCGCTACGACTACGCTGCCAGCAAAAGTATACAACGCAAGCCTTACGTCCGTCTTCTTGGTAAAAAATGCGAATTTCAAGTACACCTCAAAAGACCCAGCTACCTTTCACGGAACGGAACCAAAAAGCTTTTGGACTTTGCTCGGTGGATGGCAACGAATTGCTGGTGGAGGTAGTATTTATATTCTTGATCGTAATGCGTCTCATTGAAACGAAAGTGACCAGTTGAAAACAAGTTCGAAAATGTCACGACCCTTTGAGATAACCCAGTATCGACTCGAAGCGAGAGAAATTTTCAATTATTGTTTTTGCAAAGGCGTCTTTACTTCATGTGCTTAACAAATCCACTCACTTGCAGTTTTCACTGCGTCAGCTGCATGGTCGACACCGCTTTTCACCGTATTCGCGACGTCGTCCTCTACCTAAAAATAAAGCAGTTACTTCCTAAATCAAATTCCGAATAGAGGATTTCATCCCCAATAGCTCCAATTACTGCGCCTTCCGTTGAACTACGGATGGAACATTGTAAATTTCTAGATTCTATTCGAGGAGAAATTTGAAAATCAATAATGTTTCTCTTAATTTCAGAAATTTTTAAATCACTCCATCAATAACTCTTATCATTAGCGCTCCTCTCATGTTGTTGATAGAGCAATGGGTTATGGCAAAACCACTTCTTTATCATTTTTAGGGATCTGTTGTGGCGCCATGTAACTGGGTAGAGAGAGGAGAAGGGAACACACGACAGCGCTTCAGTATCCCTTAGAGGCACGTTCCGCGATAAACTAAGGCTAGGTTCTCATAACCGTGCACGATGGTCAAGCAGGCAACGTCAGAGGCTATACCGCTTTTAAAAGTTGAAAAACAGCAAGCAAAACGCAGCGCGCTCAGGTTTAGGCCCATTGGCGCCCGATAGGCCCATGCCGGCCTCCAGTGACCGTGTCGTTGTGAGACTGCATTGCGCTCTCTCGACCGTCTCATTTTCTGGCCTCTCTCGTCTCTTATCAGTGTATCGCCGCCTTTCGCAATTCACAATTGATCTTGACCACCTTACGCTCGTCCGGTGATCATGATCAATTCATAAGAGGGTCTTATTCCGGGCTTTTTTCGTGCTTCTTCTCCTTCAGTTAAGTCAAACATAGCACACAGGCAATTTCATTTTTGAGTGTATGACCTTATGAATTGTGGTCAACGAGATTGCCTTTAATCAGGGTCAGAGCTGAGGAGAATCACGAGAGTAAAGACTGTCCTCTCCGTACGACTATTTCTCGGCGATTCTGGCCACCCATTCAGGGATGAAATGTTATTCTTTCTACTCTCCACTCATCCACCGCACTCTGTAATATTTTTGCTCGTCCCTCCAAATCGACGATACCACCTTTTCTTGGGCGCCTACTGACACCCAACCAACTGGTTGGATGAACAGAATATCAAGAAGGGTCCAACTACTAACAAGACTTTTCGACTGAGATATCAAAAATGAACACTTATCACTGAATATTTGAAAGGAAGTAGAGCGTTACAATTATAATGAGTCGCCTCTCTGTGCTCACGACCTTTGTTTATGAATTATGATAAATTAGCGACTAACGAATTAAGGAACGAACGAACGAATCGAATTAGCGATGGAGATTGTGAGATAGTTCCGCTGTGGGGGAGTTGTGATCCTGCTTTGGTTCAGCGCAGAACAGGACAGCTGCCTCAAATTGAAATATCATACAAGTAACCCATCCTGTGCCATATCAGAAGGCCACGCCTACTCCGTCTCAGGGATAAGGAGTGTATGTCATTTCCCTACTATTGCAGGCATTCCCTCTGCTCGGCGTCGCTTTCAGGGTCACCGGGTACGAGTTCCGGGGACTCTCGATGAGTTGTGAGAAAGCCCGTGCCTAGACGACACGCTCTGTCGAAAGCCTCCTACATTTGACCTGATTCCAAACCATTACTTCCCCGATACTAATTATTGATTTCTTTGTCGCAGAAATAGATTTTCTCGTCATGTCCTACTTTCCGACCTAAAAAAAGGGAAGTCGAAACATTGACAACAAAAACACACCAACGTAGTTCCATAGAGCGACTGCTTACAGACATTTCGCTTAATACTTTAGTTGGCGTTCATTGAAACAAGCTGCGGCTACACGGCTTTCCGAGCGACAGCGCGTAGCGATTACAACCCGTGCACTACTGGTTCAAAGTTCACCTAACTCAGCTACGCTGTAATTGACTTTGAAGCGTGATCCACGCAATGTCATCTGCTGTAAAAAAAGACGCGGTGGTCAGAAGGACGAGTGTGACACAGCCAGTCTGGAAACATTTCCACTCTAGGCTCAGTGAACGAAAAGAGGAGCACCGAGCAGCTGCAGTCGCGCGATGCGGTGCACGGCGTTGAACTTTTTGCTGTGAATAGAGCCGAACCCAGATTTTGCTGTAATGGTATGAAATCGCTCCTAATGAAGGAGAGAAGGGATCTATTAGGCTCCCGGAAACTTCTCAGAGTTTTGAGCTGTTTTACTCAAATGGATCACCATAACTTTTCTCAAACACTATCGAATTAGTCCGATAAGCACCGTTCGAATCAGCACACTTTGCCAGTGTGACACCAGTCAACAAATCCCATCAAAGAAAAACTGGGTGGTCGAGAATCCACGAAATCCACGAAGGCTTTTTTGCCTGGTCCTGATTGATGAAGTATTTTCCAGCAAGGGAGTTCTAATGAAAAGGTGACAGTCTGTTGGTGAAAGGTCTGGAGAATATGGCGGGTGAGGTAGAACTTAAACCCCCAATTCGTTCAATTTATGGATAGTGATTTGTGAAACGATGTACTCGTGTGGGTAGGCGTTGTCATGCAGAAGAATCGGACCCTTTCTGTTGACAAATGCTGGCTGCAGCTGACGCAATTTTACATTTCGTCGATTTCTTCACAGTAGGACTCTGCTGTGATGGTTTGGCCTGGTGACAAAAGTTATAGTGGATCACACCAGCCGATGACCACCACACTGTGACCATAATCTTTTTTTCGTGAGGATTCGGCTTTGGAAATTGCCTCGGTGGTTCGTCGGCATCCAACCACTCCCCTCCGGAACGTATCCTATTATCATACTTGATCCACTTTTCATCACAGATGACAAATCGGTCCAAAAACGGGGTCCGTTTCGCGCAAAAGCAGTGAAAAACCTCGAGACGTGCCAATTTCTGCCGGTCACTCAAATTGTGGGGCACCCACTTATCGAGTTTTTTCACCTTCCCAATGCTTTTCAGACCATCCGCAACAGTGAATTTGCCAACGCCTAGGCTTTGCTGCAATCCCTCGAACTTGTTTGGATGGGTCAGCCTCCACAAACGCCTTCAAATCCTCGTCAGGTATTGCTTTAGGTCGACCGCTACGAGGTTCACCTTCAAGGCTGAAATCTCCAGAACGAAATTTGTCGAACCATTGTCGCACGGTGCTTTCTCCAACACTATTGGGCCCCCACACCTGGTTAATTTGTCGAGCTGTCTCGACTGCGGATTGACCCAATTTGTAGTTGAAGAAAAATATCGTCCGAAATTGTCTCTTTGAAGGAAAAATATCGTCCGAAGTTGCTCTTTTGACATGCTTCAAAAAGTCTTGGGAAAAGGGGTTTATGGTGAAACGGCAATTATACCATCAGATAGCGCAAAAAATTCTCTTCAGGATGTACTACTGAGACGCAAGGGAGAATGAGTTTTTAATCAGCAATGAATGTACAAAAAATAGTAACACAAAACGCTGAGAACTTTCCGGACAACCTAATACAAGCGCGGATTGTGCATTGTCGTCAGAATCATGACATCTCGAGGTCATGGAACACCTTAGAGAGATTAGCCCATTCAAATTCCAACCAATCTGTGCAGTTTTGGATTAGAATTAGATAACAAGCTTCTGGAATGAATGTCGGCGCTGTTTGTCGACGGGGGGGGCATTTTGTACTACCATTGCTTCCCTAGTTCCGGTTTACAAATCTCACCCTGGTAAAACTTGTGAACCCTTGTGAAGCTGGTGCAAGATCGTCTAGCCACCATCTAAAACGTGTCAACTCGAGAAAAGGCTACCTAGATGGGTCGGCACATCTATGGAAAGCAGAATGCCCCCCGTCGACAAACTGCGCCTGAATGTCCTTCACACGCCTTTAGGTGTTATTGGCATTGTGAAATCTCATATGACAAGTATGATTTGTTGTATTTGCTTTTTCTGCTTCACACATCACACTGCACTGAAATCTCGGACACAAGTCAAAGAAGATCAAATGCTGACGTACTTGGCTAAGTGGCAACGTGAGTGTCTTTCCCTAACAAGGACCTAGGCCTAGAGGACAGAAGATTAGAGTCATCTCTCGTCTGCATGGAGTTCTGCCACCATTGAGACCTCAGGGATTCCATACAGGGTAGGTCGTGCCACCGAGGGAAAAGCTGGAAAATACCTCCAATTCTCAGAACTTCCCTCCGTGGTACGACCTCTCTTTATCACCCTGGATTTCCTAGATTCTCCCCATTTCCTATCACAAGTTCTTTCTCAGATGTGTCCAGTTTTTCCCAAAAAATAGCGGGTGGGGGTGGACGTATGTAGCGCACCCTGGAACAGGAGAAGCGGAGAAAAGTCAAAAATGGGAATCATTGGGAATGCGACCACTCTCTTCCTTAAGCGCCAAAATACGACCCCATTGCTGGAATACGCAGTGTACGACGTGACCTGAATCTACCTTGTCACACATGATGAATGGCTCACTTATCGGAACCCTGTTCCTTCGTATTTTTTCAGAATTTCGCCAGCCATATCCGTCTGCGATCTTCTATGCAAACCCCATTCGTCTGTCTTCCTAAGCCCGACGCCATGGTTAGTGGGAGCCAAGCAGAAGCGCTGTCTCGTGGTCCACTTAACTACCTTAGAGCCACATGTCAACTGAAAAATACAACAGTTCTTTTTCAACAATTCTTACGATTTTTTTTTGGTTGTCGAAATTTCAAGAAAAAAAGACGACTCGTTAAAGAATGTTGTTATCAGAGGAGCTGTGCTTTTGTGTTTTCACTTTAGATGTTTTTTTATGCGGTGGATAACTCTGCAGCAAAGAAAGCACGAAGAACTTAGCTACCCCACTACGTCCATCGTTTCCTGCCGCAAGTCCTCTGATGCTTTATAGTAATACTATCATGAGGTGTAACAGCAAAGAGCCGTGAAGAGAGATGCAGTCACTCAATCATTCTGCAGCAACAAACAAAGAAAAACTATTTCCAGACCATGATCCACGATAATATATCTAGACAGCCCTTGTTAAACTGCTGTAGCACCAGTATCATACTACTGCTTATATCTGTGCATTACTAGTGGAAGGAGAAGTCCCGTCATATTTTTCTTTAGCTTTCTTGTTATAGAGAAAAATGCAAATCTGGTACATCCATTATATATCACTCTTTTTCAGAATGAAGGCATTGACAAGACTTTCCCGCCGAACTAGTATTTAGACTGACACCATGTAGGAGATGTCTTTTGAATGCCCTTAAAGGCAGTTGGCACGATGGTTTCCTACTTAGCCTAAAATGCTAGTAGGGCGCTGTATAGTGGGGAAATGGCGAAAGAACGGAGTGAAACGGTCAAAATCCTGCGAAGAAAAAGCCTCCGTTCTCAGTGACTTGTAAATCGATTTCGGACGAGTTTCCCGTACGCATCTTGCCAATCACCGCTACCGAAGATACGGCTGCATATGTGTACCCATATATGCATGCAGCATCACCGCCGCTTCATACCAATCCCTTTGCTTCATAATTTGCTCAGCAAATGAATGAATACGAGCGTCAGAAACGGTCGTCCGTTTGTGGGCGGGCGGGCAAGGAAGGCGTTTGGGACGTAAATGTTGCTCAATAGGGTAGAGGTACCCTCCTTGGAAAAGGCTTCACGCAGCGCCTGTCGAGGT